CAAAGCATTCTATGATTCTATGATGATTCTATGACCTTTGGACACATTAAGATAGAGAAAAGCCGATCTCTAAGAGAACTAAGGAGTAGGTTCGAAACTGTAATACATTTCTGGAGCCAGTTACTAGGAAGAAACTGGGAGTTTTGCCTCAGGAGCAGGGAACTGGAACACCAGCTATGAACACAGATCAGCGGCTGGGCTATTTTTGGCTTGTGAACCGTTCTAATGTCTGTTTATTTTTAAGGTCGTTTTCTGTTTGCATAGGACGTACACCCTTCTGGTGGGTGGGAGGCATTATAAAAAAAAAACACTGCTGTGCAGAGTTATGAACTAAGCTTGGAGAGGGATGGGAAAAACAGAACTCAGTGTACTTATTGCTTTAAAACCCAAAAACATCTGCTTAGGTCATAAGGTTTGTTGACCCACTCTAAGCAGTGCCCCCACCGGAAAAATACCATTTCAATTAATACAGACTACTGCAGGGGACTGCAAAAGACTTGGGAAAACTCAAGTCAGATGACAACATGGTATAAATAGAAAGGAAGCATCAGATTTGGCATTTTTTGTTTTTTTTCAGTCGTGCTTACCTTCAAGCAGTAAATAGCAACCCAGAGCATACACCCCACAGCTGAGAAGTCAGAAGTCATGCTGGCTGGCCAGGCCTGAATCTCAACTCTTGTTAAAAAACAACATGCTTTATTGTCATTTTCCTGGCTTCTTCCTGTTGGCCATATCTTTATTCACACACAGTCGAGTGATACAAATTCATTGGAACAGTGGCAGTTTACAAAAGACAGTAAGAATGATTACTTTGAACTGAAATTTAAAAAACCCTAAGTCTGGCCATCTGGCAGGCAATGCACTGTTTGGAACAGGTCACGGTACTTACCACTGTTTTATAACATTGGCAGTGTACTCCCAGCCATGTTCCTTTTCAAGAGCATAAAATACACAATACAAAAATATAATAAAAGTTTGTAGAAATGTGTGCTGCAAAACAATTGCTGTTGTCTGATTTTCAGTATATTTACTCCCACGCGGTATTATGATAGAATACTTGAATAAACATGGTTTATTTCTAACTTAATTTGAACTTTATAGTTGATCTCAAGTTAGCTGCAAAGTCTTAGGCTCCAATCCTGGAAGTACATAAAGGACCTTAACTTTGGACTCGTGAGACTGATAGACATGAGGTGAGCCCACAAGTGAGCACTCAATGCCTTGGGCTCCTGCTCAGGAGGGAAGTGGAAGTGCTGCACGTCATAGGACCTTAATTTGGGGCATTTTCCTCGATTTTTCAAGACTTTTAACAAGTCTTCCCTGGGCTATCCTTTTACCTGATAGACTTGAGTTCATCAAGTTGCTGGTAATCTGGTGGAACTGCCTGGTTTTGAGATCTGGGGCTCTGCAGTTAGCTGAGTCAACTGTGCAAAGTCTCTCCCTCCTTATCTCACTCCTCTGTATAATTTTACCTGTCCTTTTCCCCTCTCCTTCCTCCCTCCTGGCCTGGTACCACCAAAATGACCTCCTTCCACGCGAGAGAGCTGGATGCTCCAGCGCTTTGCTAAGGCTGCTCATACCAAGCCTCATACAAGCTCCTTGCAATCGGAGCACCATTTCCTTAGTGTTTCCAAAGTTGAGACCTGGGTGTAGAAATGGAAGCCTGTGCCGACCTTACCATGCAGGGATGAGGGGCTATCCCCTCAGGCTGGCACGCTTGCAATGAGAATCCCTGATGTAGAGGCAATGCTCATGGAAAACGGCATCTAGAATGCCCCTTGCCATGACGGAGGAAGGCACCACTAGCAGGCAAGTGTGTTTAACTCCAGGATTTCGTGTTCCTTTTTCTCCCAAGAGCCAATCTCAAAGCATTTGAGAAAAGAAGCTAGTATTGCTCTGTTTTTGCAGACGGGAAGGCTAAGGCACCGAAGGGTAAGATCGTTTGGCCAAGGTCTCTGTCCCAGTCCATGCCCTTCACTGAGCTGTTGCTCTCTGTGCTCGCGTCGCGTGAGACACGTTCTCAGAGGGGTAACCCCATCTCTGCTCCCCAGGCAGACACCACACGCAGGGGCCAAGATCCGCCTTCCTAGGCACGGCCTCCGGAGAAAACATCAAGAAGGACATGCATTGGAGGCCAGAAGTTGGCTTCCCAATGTCTAAACGCCACCAACTCCCAAGGAGGTCAGCTATGGAAAGATGACCAGGATACTTCTGAGGTATAAAACTCTGTGTCTGCTGGCCACTGGTCAGCTTTGTCATCGTCGGACTTATCGCTGTCATCGCCGCTGGAGGGTTCGTAGCCCGGGATGGCAGAGCGGATCGGCTCCGGCTGCCTGTGATCTGCCTCCGCCTCCTCCTTCTTTTCTGCCAGCAGCTGCCTGTAGCACAGGTTGCAGACCCTCAGGGGCTTGGGGGACAGCCGGGGCATCAGGAACCTCTGCCTGGAGCAGTCTGCGCAGACGACAAAGCCGCACTTGCGGCAGTGGTGCCTTCGGGTGAGCGTGGAGAACTTGGTCTGCGTGCAGCGCATGCAGATGTCCGTCGCCTTGTCTGGGATCCAGGGGGCTGCGTGCTCCGTGGAGGGCTGCCGGCCCGTCTTCGTCAGCAGGTACCTGATGCACTCCTCCAGATGGCTGATCCACTCCTTCCTCTCCGTGAGGGAGGCTGCGGAAACCACAAAGGACTTCTTGGAGGTTTTAATCATCCAGCGGTTCTTCATCTGCAAGGTGTCTGGCAGCGTCTCCAAAGTGACATCTTCAAGGGGAATGATGTGCTGGGAATTGTACTTCCTTTTGTTGATGACTATGCTGCCATAGACAAGGATGTCGTTGAAAAGGAAGAATATGCGAGGTTTTGGTTTCTTGCGACATTCTTTGGTTAAAATCCCTTCTCCTAGAAGGACCCTTCCCGGCACAGCTAAGGGCTGTCCGGAAGCCCCAAAGCAGTTCTCCACAGCAGCAATACGCTGGCTGTTGATCTCAGTGTTTGCAAGATGGTCCACCATCTCCGGCTCGCTCTGAAGAGAGGAAAATAAAGAGGGAAATGGTGAAGCTGCAAACATCTGCACTGGGGTGACGCTGAGTAGCAAACGTATGCACAGGTGAGACGCTCCTAACGCAGCCTGAGGTTACGAGTAATCTCCTTACCACTCCTCACTTTAGTTTGTTACCTTTTTAAATTAAATTTTCAAACTTTCTGACCCCACTTTGCAACAGCCCAGTCTATGCCGGGATAGTTCAGTTTGCAGCAATGGAAGCCCACG